GACCCCGGTGACACCCCCATCCTGGGCAAGCCAGCGCCATGGCAGGGGCTGGGGACACTCACTGGTTGTCCAGGACGGGGAGGTCCTCCTCAGCCAGTTGGTCATCTTCCAGTTCGCTCACCTTGGCCTCCTTGGCCATGGCGAGCGGGAGGGACTCAGCGGGATTGTGGAGATGGTCGGCTCCTGAAACAAGGAGGGGGTCAGCAGATACGCCCAGCCACCCACAGCTGGGGCACGAGTCCTGCGAGGGTTCCCCATCCCACCTCCCAACCCCAACGGAGTCCATGACAGCTCCCAGCTCTACCCCACCATGTGCATCCAACCAGTGGCACCCCCTTGCCCACGGCACGGGAGGACCCCTGGGTGCCCCACTCCCATCAGCCTCACCCAGGTTGTCCCGTAGGGCGCTGGCCTCCAAGTGTTGGTCAAAATTCAGGTTGGGCACCAGCTTCAACCTCATCCGGGAGTAGGTCTCGGCGCTCGACAGCTTCCAGCGAACCTCCGGTGGGTTCCTGGGGAGCAGGCGGGGGTGAGGCACCCTGGGGACCCCCAGCCGTGCCACCCCTCGCTGGGAACCAAGGTGGGGGCTCACCGGTCAGCCCAGGCGGAGCGGGGTGAGGTGAGGAGGCGGCACAGGGACCGCCACTGCTTCAGCACGGTGCTGTGGTGGTTGTTGGCCTGCTTGAGCACGTTTGCGTGCCGGGCGTTTTCTGCCTTGGCGCGCTTCGCCGCCGGCTCCAGCACCAGCTCCTGCCGAGGGAGTGGGAGAATGAAGTGACAGCAGGGCTGGGGTTCGGGGACATCTCCGAAGTGAGGAGCATGTCCATGGGGTGACATCCTCAGGGCAAGGAGAATGTCCCCAGGATGATGTACTTGGGGTGAGGAGCACATCCCCGGGATGATGCCCCTGGGTGAGGAGCATGTCCCCAGTGTAGGGAGCACATCCCCGGGATGATATTCCTGGGATGGAGAGCACACACCCAGAACAATGTTCCTAGGATGAGGAGCACTTCCTGAGGGCAATGTCCCCAGGGTAAGGAGCATGTCCCCAGGATGACATCCCTGGGATGAAGAGCACATCCCCAAGATTAATGTCCCCAGGGTGAGGAGCATATCCCCGGGGCGACGAGCATGTCCCTAGGATGACATCCCCAGAGTGAGGAGCATGTCCCCAGGCTGATGTCCCGGGGATGAGGAGCATGTACCCAGGGCAAGGAGCACATCCCTGGAATGACGTCCCTGGGATGATGAGAACATCCCTGGGATGATGTCCCCAGGATGAGGAGCACATCCTGAGGACGACGTCCCCAGAGTGAGGAGGATCTCCCCAGGATGACATTGCCAGGATGAAGAGCACATCCCCAGGATTAATGTCCCCAAGGTGAGGAGCACATCCCGATGACCCCTGGATGATATCCCTGGGGTGAGGAGCATGTACCCAGGGTGAGGAGCACATCCCTGAAACAAGGTCCCTGGGTTGATGAGCACATCCCCGGGATGATGTCCCTGGGATGAGGAGCACATCCCGAGGACCATGTCCCCAGGATGACATCCTCGGGATGAGGAGCACATCCCCAGGATTAATATCCCCAGGGAGAGGAGCATGTCCCTAGGATGACATCCCCAGAGTGAGGAGCACATCCCTGGATGACATCCTTAGGGTGAGGAGCACGTCCCCAGGGTGAGGTCCCAGGGGCGAGGAGCAGGCAGTACCTGGAACATCTTACGGCTGGCTGCCTTCTCCTTCTCCCGCCGCTGGGAGCTGCTCATCATGGCATCATAGCAGGCGTTCCAGAAATTGGACATGTGGTCGTGGCTCTTGGCAAAGGTGTCCATTTCAAACTGGGCCATGGTGGGCTGCACCTACCGAGAGAACCGGGATGAGAGGGGAGGCATTTGCAGGGCTTGGCACCCACCAATCATCATCCAGGCTATGAACATCCCTGCCCTGGAGGTCACCCCTGGAAGCTGTCCCAACACGGTGGTGACATGGGGACCCCGCCACAGTACGGACCCATCTCTAAACCTGGGAAGGTGTTCCCCCAACAGCGATGCCACCCCATGCCCCACGGCACCCACGTGCTTCTCGATGAAGCCCCTCCACTCCGGGGTGGTGCAGAAGAGCTGGAAGTCCTCGTAGAAAGTGGGGCTGCCGTTGGTGGGGGGCAGCGAGGGCAGGAAGACCTGCAGCTGCAGGGTCTCGTAGCACTGGTCCATGAGCGTCCGGACGATGGGCACCAACCAGGAGAAGGTCTCCGACTTGGCGTCCAGCGAGCG